GGGGGGGGGGGGAGTCTGAAGGTAAAAAGATAGTTTGAATGCGGGGATCGGGAAAGATCTGAAAAAGGGTTTTTAGGAAAAACAAGACCGTAAGGTTGTGGCTCTTGGCTGCCGGAAGACAAAAAAGATAATATGTGGCATGGAAAGGGAAAATGTTGTGGCTTATGGCCGTCTGCCTTCCCCCGCTCGTTTAGGTCACTTCAGCTAAAATTAATATAATCGCAGCCTAGCAGCAAAAATGGCTAAACACTAACATACAATACAGGGTTATCTACAAAAGGATTACCTTCAAAGGATGAGACTTTGATCACGATAAAGAAAAGTTAAACTGCAACAAATCTTGTAGTTTGCAAATGTTCATCAAAAATGTGGCTAAGTACTTCTTTATTAACCCATTGTTTGGCTTAATTGCACCTGGATAAAAACTTACCTGAAAGTTTGAATCTGATCATTTGATATAATGCTCGGTTCATCCTCAGTACTAGAGTAGTTTTCCATACTGGAGATACATGAACCCGTCCTACTGGAGTACTGACTCTGACCTCCAGTACCCCTTGATACAATCAAACCATGAATAGTTGTTTACACAAATCTGAGATTTTTTTATCGAAGACATTAAAAGTTACCCATTACCCTTAAATGCTTGAGTTTACACTACTCTGTGGTTTGTTTATGCTGAAATGTTTGAGTTTACACTACTCTATGGTTTGTTTATCCTGAAATGTTTGAGTTTACACTACTCAATGGTTTGTTTATCCTGAAATGTTTGAGTTTACACTACTTCTATGGTTTGTTTATCCTGAAAAGTTTGAGTTTACACTACTTTATGGTTTGTTTACCCTGAAATGTTTGAGTTTATACTACTCTATGGTTTGTTTATCCTGAAATCTTTGATTTTACACTACTCTATGGTTTGTTTATTCTGAAATATTTGAGTTTACACTACTCTATGGTTTGTTTATCCTGCAATGTTTGATTTTACACTACTCTATGGTTTGTTTACCTTGAAATGTGTGGGTTTACAATGCTCTATGGTTTGTTTACCCTAAAAAGTTTGAGTTTACACTACTCTATGGTTTGTTTACTCTGGAACGTGTGGGTTTACAATACTCTATGGTTTGTTTATCCTGAGTGTTTGAGTTTACGCTACTCTATGATTTGTTTACCCTGAAAAGTTTGAGGTTAAACTACTCTATAGTTTGTTTACCCTAAAAAGTTTGAGTTTACACTACTCTATGGAATGTTTACCCTGGAACGTGTGGGTTTACAATACTCTATTATTTTTTATCCTCAAATGTTTGAGTTTACACTACTCTATGGTTTTTTTTATCCTGAAATGTTTGAGTTTACACTACTCGATGGTTTGTTTATCCTGCAATGTTTGAGTTTACACTACTCTATGGTTTGTTTATCCTGCAATGTTTGAGTTTACACTACTCTATGGTTTGTTTATGCTGAAAAGTTTGAGTTTACACTACTCTATTGTTTGTTTACCCTGAAAAGTTTGAGTTTACACTACTCTATGGTTTGTTTATCCTGAAAAGTTTGAGTTTACACTACTCTATGGTTTGTTTACCCTGAAAAGTTTGAGTTTACACTACTGTTACTCCTGGCTCTGGTTTGAAAGGAGTCTCCAACGTGAACCACTTTCTTCCCTCGAATATTAAATTGCCTAAAAATAAAGATAATTTTTCTAAATTAATTCTAACCATTTCATCTTAAGGTAACCTAGAGAGGTCTGATGAGTCTTATAACCGTTTCATCCACTAAATGTAGATTTTTCATATTAATATTTTATTTGGCTAAGTATCTATATATAAATAAAGTTGTAATCTCTGTTTGTCTGTCTGTCTATTTGTTTTTCCGATCATAACTTGGGACCCCTTGACCTCTTTGTCTCAAATTTTGATTGGGGAATTAGGGAGAACAACGGGAATGTTCTTGGCTTATTTTAAGATTTTCAGTTGAGATAGGTGAGATATTCTTCTTTATCTCTTTAAACCTATTTCTGATCTAGGATATGAGATATTCTTCTTCATTTCTTTAAGCTAAGAACATTCCCGTAGTTCTCCCTGATTCTCCAATCAAAATTTAAGACAAATATGTCAAGGGGTTCCCAAGTTGTAATCTCTGTTTTTCTGTCTGTCTATTTGTTTTTCCGATCATAACTCGGGAACCCCTTGACCTCTTTGTCTCAAATTTTGATTGGGGAATTAGGGAGAACAACGGGAATGTTCTTAGCTTATGAAAAGATTTTAGTTGTTGAGTAGGTCAACTTTAATAGCGAAAATTTAGTTTCCCGGTAAAATCGTTCAAGTGCAAGTAAACTGCGGCGGTAGTAACTTTTAGTAACCTTGGCACTGGCAGTGCTGGGTTCCCAAGCTAACTAAAATATTTAAGTATTTGAGGTCTTTACGCTGTTTTTGACGAATTTTCAATGAGAGATCAAAATATGACTGAAAATATATCAAGATGCTGTATGAACCAAGTTCAATAATGCGTAGATGAAGCAGGAACCTAGTTTAAACCAGGAAGATTATCTGAATTGTACTTAAATAAGGGGTTGGAGAATATACTTCAGTCCCGCATACCATCTAGCGGGGTTCACATACACTTTATATTCGGCAATGTTTATATCAATTGGAATATACAATAATAATAGTATCTTTAGTTGTGCTAGTTATGCTAGTTATGCATTTAGGTACCTTCCCACCTGCCAGACTTTTGTCCGGTATAATGCATTTTGGTGTAATTAGTTTCACGTAATCCGTCTTTTCACAAAACCACGGAATAAATAAGGATTTGTGTCAAAGGTTTCTCATACAAATAGATAAATTTTCTTTAGCACCAACTAAGGAGCTGTTCACTGTATATAGAAACAAACTAATTAACTAGATATTACTAAATGAAAATGAAAACAGTAGAGCAGAGCAAACCTGACCATGAAAACTAAATAAAGAAAAATATATTGAAAATTCAATAAAACATTTATATATGACATTTAAAGTCAAAATGGAAATTTCCAGGAAATGTAAATAATTTCCTTTTTTAAACAATAAAACATACTTCATTTTTACTTGTATAGCATATCAGATTAGGATTCATTTAGAATATATTTTAGAAATTTTAAATGTCAATGATAAATGATTTAAGATATTTTAAAATATTTCTCATAATTTTTCTTACTTTTTAAAAGTTTCGTTTTTTCTTTAAAAAACGATTTAATTCTGCAAATACAGTTGTTTTTTGTGAAACATATTTTCAATTTTACTGTCCAATGTGGAAGTAAAGTAAAGGAACTAAAAACGTGCCACAAACTCGAATTTTTTATTCCCTTTATCTTTGTAGCCCAATGTCGCATACCTATTTCAAACTGTTGATTCTGTTAGATTAAATAATTTAACTCTGAACTGTTGAAGGCTTGAAAGTGATTGAAATACCTAAGAAGATAGAGATTGTCGCTGATACTATCCTCCATACTCTCTGGTAATGATGTTCCTCTGGTTCTACAATATTTGTATATATATTATATACATTTAAGATTTACTCATATATATTCGATATAGGTTTAGTATAAATAATATTTATACTAATATGTTCCACTAGTTATATAATATTATCCTGCAATGTTTGAGTTTACACTACTCTATGGTTTGTTTATCCTGAAATGTTTGAGTTTACACTACAAAAATAAAAGTATACTCTAGATGATATTATTAATACAAGCTGTCCAAGGGTGACTCACATCAAATCAAATTAAAAATTGAAGAATTTGTAGAATCATGATAAAACATATAGATATGTTTTCTATATTCCTGAGTACCGGATATTATTATACAATAAATATTGGAAACTGTATACAGAGTATCATTAGAACAAGTATAGACTCTCTGTGTGTGTGTGTAATCTTAGCAATACAATACCATCATTAGAAAATATATTTATAAATAAGATTTCTGGGAAGCTCCGCGCCCCACTTCATTTTTCTTCGTTCATCGGCGAAAAAAAAAACAATAAAAAATCTCCCAGATTTTCCTGTTTTCCCGCCAAATCTTTAAAATTTACCAAGTATTTTCAGACAGTATTATGTCAGGTCCCAATAACATTTTACCAATCGATGTTATCGTTTAAATCATAGATGAATAAATAAATCTATGGTTTCAACATTTATTATATTGTAATGAACGAACAGAAAATGAAAACTTATTAAAAAAATGTAAATATATATAAAAACTATCCACTTTTTAGATTAAAAAAAAAGTTTTAAAATAATTTTTTTCTCAAAATATCTGCTAAAAATTCTGTTATAGCATAAATTTGATCATTTTAATGAAGTGTATTAAATAAATATTTTAAATTTATTTTAAATAAACATTTATAATATTAGTTGTAATTTACTTTCGAAATGTTATTAAAGATAAACAAACATACAAGTACTGGGGAAGAAAGTTCCAAACCGTGATTTGGCCCAGATCTGACACAGAGAGTTAGGTTCGGGCCAAATGTTCAAATTTGTATTTTTTGATTGTTTATATCAGTCAATTTAGGTCGAGAAGTAAAAACCCGTCTGCATTCTTTTATTTAGAACATTTGAATTAATGATATTTTTTGGCCTTTACACAATTTGGTAGAAAAACAAGTTGTTCGCATGTAGTAAAATTTGAATAATGAAACAATAAAAAATGTTAACAATACATTCTGTTTTGATATTTCAAAATATAACAACTTAAACGTTGAAAAATTCTAATATAAATATTTTATTGTTCGTAAGGTTAAATTGAAAAGAAAAATGCGGTAAATGTTCTATTGAAAATTGAGGAAACTTAAAATCGTCTATACTCTCCGTATTTGGAAGTATAATGTGCAAATAAGTTTTAGAATAATTTAGAAGATACAAATCTTTCCAGTGATTCATGCTTTTCTATAAATTATGAAAGTGGGGTTTGTTCTGATTTGTTGAATATTTCAAAATTATGGATTGTTTTAAAAGTTGGTTCATGTTCCAAAGATTCGAATTTGAGATAAGTGCAAAAATGTAAAACCATGAATTGTTTCGAAAATGGGATTTTCATTGAAAATTATTGATCACTGACATTCTAAGTATTACAGAAGAATTAAATAGTATTATTTTTATTTCTCGTCGTGCTTAATAATATGTTTGAAATAGTTTCTTTAATTGATATTTGCATTCGGCACAGATAGATTTATTAAAACGTTGATCATCATATTTGTGCCTAAACCTGGCACTCAGTGTCAGGTTTGGAACATAAGCACTGTTTGAACTTTCTTCCCATGAAGTACTTATTATATTCTGAACTCAGTTAGTATTATTTTATTTTTAGGGGATTGTTTTGTATTTTGATAAGTTAATTACCCAAGAGGTACTAATTCTACCAGTTATTGAACACACCCATACATAATATGGGAGAAAAAAGAGAAATATTTTTTTGGAAAATACATTTTCATAATTAGATCTTATTTCAGAAAATATTCTATATTTAATATTTGAAATTAGATGAAGGGAGATATTTTTCCTTTTTTCCTTTACTAAAACTAAAATATTAGATATCATAAATCACATGGAAGACGACAAGAAAAACCTTTTAGTAAAAATCATCCTAGGTCAAATTATTATTTTGATCAAAAGAATATGTTAAAATTAGAAAGATATATAATTAGAATCCTATATGTTCTATAATTTATACATCCACCTTTACCCAAATAGATAAATAATCTCTTCAGTTTAATTAAATCCCTCCACCCCCCCCCCCCTGCATGAATTATCTAGCAAGTTCCTTCTATGCTTCAGTTTTCTCAACGTCAGCACTCTAGATAATATCATTAATACACTAATAAAACAGTGGAACTAGGGGGGGGGGTAAAGACCCACCAAGTATCAGTACTCTAGATAATATTATTAATACACTAATAAAACAGTGGAAATAGGGGGAGGGGGGTACAGACCCACCAAGTATCAGCACTCTAGATAATATTATTAATACACTAATAAAACAGTGGAAATAGGGGGAGGGGGGTACAGACCCACCAAGTATCACCGATCAGGCCCGGATTTTTGTGGCCCCAGGGAAGGTTTATTGCCAGTCAAAATTGAAAAAAATGTTAAAAGAGCATATTTATTCAAGTATTTCATGTCCCTCCGCAACACTCTTTCTTGGTGTAAAGGAATTCATGAGTCTTTGCCAAAAAATACCGATTTTCTAATCCCTATTTCTTTGCAACACATTGTCGTAGGCCTTAGATATTTCAAACTCTGAATTCTGGTAGATCAAATAGTCTTTATTTGAAATATCAAGGTTTTACACCATCAGTTTGCAAAGAAAGAGGGATTAAAAAATTTGAGTTTGTGGCAATCACTCTTAATTAATTTTATTTAGAAACCATATTCTAAACTGTAAACTCCTACCTGATATATGGAACCTTGAGATATGATTCATCACTAGGTGTTCTACAAGGAGATCTAGAGCTTCGAGGAACGCTGAAGTGTGTACTAGGAGTACCTGGAGCAGATCTATAATATCTTTAGTCACACTTTATAAATGGAATACAAGCATGCTTCTACAGCAAAAGAGAAGGAGTAGGATAAACCAGGGAGAAGGAGTAGGATGAACCAGGTAGAAGGGTAGGATGAACCATGAAGAAGGGTAGGATGAACCATGAAGAAGGGTAGGATTAACTACAGAGAAGGAGTAGGATGAATCAGAGAGAAGGAGTAGGATAAACCTGGGAGAAGGAGTAGGATAAACCTGGGAGAAGGAGTAGGAAGAACCAGGATGAAGGGTAGGATGAACTTGGGAGAAAGAGTAGGATGAACCAGAGAGAAGGAGTATGATAAACCATAAAGAAGGAGTAGGATGAACCAGAGAGAAGGGTAGAATGAACTAGAGAAAAGAAAAAGGATAAATCAAGAAAAAGGGTAGGATGAACTAGAGAGAAGGGTAGAATGAACCAGGGAGAAGGGTAGGATGAACTAGAGAGAAGGATTAGGATAAATCAAGAAAAACGGTAGGATTAGCTAGGGAGAAGGAGGTGGATGAACCAGGAGGAAGGGTAGGATGAAGCATGAGGAAGTAGAGGATGAATCAGAAATAAGGGAAGGATAACCCATGGAGTAGGAGCAGGATGAACCAGGAAGAAGGAGAAGGATTAATTAGGGAGAATGAGTAGGATGGACCAGGAAGAAGAGTAGGATGAACAATGAAGAACGGTCAAATGAACTATGAAGAAGGAGTAGGATGAACCAGGAAGAAGGTGTATGATAAACAGGAGAGAAGGAGTAGGATGAACCAGGAAGAAAGAGTAGGATAAACTAGGAAGAAGGAGTAGGATTAACTAGGAAAAAGGTGTAGGATGAAACAGGAAGAAGGAGTAGAATGAATTAGGGAGAAGGAGTAGGATGAACTAAGGGAGAAGGAGTAGGAGAAACCAGAGAGAAGGAGTAGGATGACCCATGAAGAAAGTTAGAATGAACCAGGGAGTAGAAGCAGGATGAACCTGGAAGAAGGAGAAGGATTAACTAGGGAGAAGGGTAGGATGAACCAGGAAGAAGGGTAGGATGAACCATGAATAAGGAAAGGATAAGCCAAGAAGAGGCGTAGAATGAACCAGGAAGAATGAGTAGAATGAACCATAAAGAAGAGTAGAATGAACCATGAAGAAGGATTAGGATGAATCAGAGAGAAGGACTAGGATCAACCAGGAAGAAGGATTAGGATCAACCAGGAAGATGGAGTAGAATGAACCATAAAGAAGAGTAGAATGAACCATGAAGAAGGACTAGGATGAATCAGAGAGAAGGAGTAGGATAAACCATGAAGAAGGAGTAGGATGAACCAGGAAGAAGTTTTGGATGAACCAGGAGGGAGAAGGAGTAGGAAGGATAGGTTAAGAGGTAGTGAATAGTGTATACCTATGAAGTGGGAGTCTGGGTTGTAGTAGAGGAGAAGGACAGCGGGGAACTTGATGATTGTAAACTGATAATCCTTTTGTCCCAATGGAACCAGGTTGTTTAAACTGACGGTCTGCCCCTACATCAATCAATTATTTAGTTTTTGCAGAACCTGGCTACTATAACTGCTCCTAGATCAATTAATCAATTAAAAACTAGCGGCTTAAGTTACTCCAAGATCTATAAATTATTTAGTTTCTGCAGAACCTGGCTACTAAAACTGCTCCTTGATCAATTAATCAATTAAAAACTAGTGGCTTAAGCTACTTTAAGATCTATGAATTATTTAGTTTCTGCAGAACCTGGCTACTAAAACTGCCCCTTGATCAATTATTCAATTAAAAACTAGCGGCTTAAGCTACTTCAAGATCTATAAATTATTTATTTTTTGCAGAACCTGACTACTATAACTGCTCCTTGATCAATTAATCAATTAAAAACTAGCGGCTTAAGCTACTCCAAGATCTATAAATTATTTTTTTTTTGCATAACCTGGCTACTAAAACTGCTCCTAGATCAATAAATCAATTAAAATCTAGCGGCGGCTTAAACTTCTCCAAGAACTATAAATTATTTATTTTCTGTAGAACCTGGCTACTAAAACTGCTCCTAGATCCAGTAATCCCTTAGTTACTAAAGTGCTCCTAGATCAATTAATTAATTAGAATCTAGTTGCTAAAATTATTCCAAGATTAACTGACATTTAGCTTCTGTAGAACCTGCCTGTTTAATCTGCTCCTATACATCAATAAATAATGACTTGATTATTTAGATTCTGAAGAAGGTTCTTTCATAACATTATTGAAATCCATGTTTTTGAGACACACGAGACATGACTATAAATCTGATAAAGGCTTGCATAATTGATAAAAAAATCAAAATACGTAGAACTTTGAATTTGGTAAACATTAAAACTTAAGCACAGTCTCTTTATATTAAGTGCCACGAATCAACAATACAGATTATATACAGCATTGACGCGGACCAGCCACCCATGTAGCCGGGACAGGATTTACAAAATAGACAGCTGTATATTGATGTATATTTCTGTATATTGCTGTATATTTTGAGGTAATCAATCAATCAAGATGGATATTTTGGGGTTATCATATATTATTTCCATTTATAAGTGGTATGAAATAAAGGAAATCTAAACCCTTAAAACTGACCAGAATCTACAGAGTATGGGAAAAATGTATTTACAAGTAAAAAATGAACAAATAAAAATTATACTAATGAATCACGGAAAGCTGGAGCTCTCTGACGGACTCTCCACCTTTCATTCCCCTCATACGATGAGTTAATCTTCCGTCTTCGGACTCTTCCTGCCGATCTATTCGGCTCTACTTGGGCCAATCCCACCCCTGCCACTGCATGGAGAGAGCATTGACCTGATGAAAACGATAGAGAGATTACATAGGAGCATAGGACTGGTCTGGACTCTAGTCTCTCTGGAAGGATTTGAGGCCTGGATCTGGGACTCCAGATTTGAGTACTGGATCTGGGACTCCAGATTTGAAGTCTCTTTTCACTCAGCACTGGACTCTGGCCCCCTTTAGAATCAAGTCGTCTGTTAAACCCTTATGACTCTGGGCTTTTGGACTCTGACCCTCCGAACTCTCAGACTCCAAACTCTGGCCCCTCATCCTTATCCTCCTAAACCCTCCTTTCCAAAGCAGAAGTGAGTTTGATTTAACACAACTCTAGTGATGGTTGGCTCCAATCTGAATGGCACAACCAGATTAAAAACCACAAATAAGCTTATGATGATAAACTGATAATAAAAGGAGATAGATTGCATTGGATGGCTAAAATATGTTGTATACATACTGTCTGCATTCACAGCTCTTCAGAATTTTTAGTGGGTCTAATTGGTTCGTTTCGGAGCAAAAATAAAACTCAGTTTCAGAAATCATGAAAATACGAATATTTTCCTTTTTAAGCAAGCCCATTTGGGAACTTTGACATAAACGTTGCAGCTTTGAGCTTTTCCAACCCGACTTGTTAGTTGTTGGAGGCCCCTGTATCCTGGGTAGTTTATCAATTATCCTTTGAAGGAAGGTAAACGAGAAGTCAGATAAATTAAGCCAGATGAAATCTTATAAATAACTGATTTGGTGTTTCATTCGAAACTATCTGTTTAATTATTCATTATTGTTAAAAAGTAGATCACTTCATTGATTTTGTACACAGTTAAAAGTAGAACAAAATATCATCAAAATAACCTTTTAAATTGTACTTTGTATACTACCTTCCTTTGAGAATCGTACTTCTCTTACTATGTTGTAAGATATAAATGTTCATAAGACAAATGTCGATAGTATTTCAGTAAAAATTTTAGTAATTTAGAAAAAAGGAAGAATTCTAAAATTTCAAATAAAGACACAAATATTTGCTTGCGAAAGTTCTTGAGAAAATTCTATTTAGAAATGTAAACGTCATGTGAAATGTTCACATAATATTTTCCCTAAAGAATATACAGAACTAGTACGGGGACCCACCTTTGCTTGGAAACAATTCTTTCAGGAAAAAAAAGGTCAACCTTTTAATAAAAGGAATTGAGTTTTTGCCACAAACTCTGATTTTCTAATTTCAATATCGTTGCAACCCAATGTCGTAGACCTTTAATATTTCAAACTATGAATGCTATTAGATCAAATAATGTAAGTTTGAAATATTAAAGGTTTACATCACAAGGTTGCAAAGATATAGATTATACAAAAACTGAATATGTGACAAAGACTCAATTCCTTTTAGAGTAAATACTATAAAGATTTACAGTGTACACTGTACAGTGTAGAGTAAACGACCAAATCAAGTTTAGAAGTAATCAGAATTCAGTCATAACTAAGCAAATCTCGCATTTTAACGTGGAGCAATGAAAATTTGTATTATGCATTTTCATATTTTTACATGAAATGCAGGTTTTCTTACTATCTACTTATCTGTCTATCATCCTAAAAATGGAAAGTAGAAAATAGCTCAACTCCTTCAAAATATTGTCAGAACAAGAAATTCAGAATTCAGAAAAATTCAACAATTTGTCTTTCAAAACATTTTTCTACCGAATTGACTCTAAAACGAATTGAGTCTTTGTCACAAAGAACCATATGGATTCATCATAACTATGTTTAATTAGGTCAGAACTTTTTGTTGTTGTTGTAAACGAAGCCCTTATCCGGATATTTAGTTAACGGTTTAAATATTTCCTCTTTGGTATCCCGTGGACAGGACCAAGCAGAGGGATAAGTAAAATTTAGGGAAGATCAAGCGCTCTCTTAACTCAAACCCCAAACTTAACCTTAACCTCTATGTAATCACTAATACCTTGCTTGGTATAATAAATATCTGTTAGTATCTTAAACTGGATGTTTCCTCCGATAGCTATACAAACCTGGTTCTAATGATGCACCCGGAGTATAATCTCCGTCCTCTATCTCCTGAGCAGACTCTCTACGGAGCCGGGGACGTGGAGAGGATGGTCTCGATCCCGGAGATCCGAGGGATCGCTGGCTTATCAGAGATCGACCCGGAGCATAAGGAGAGCTGGGGGAACCGAAGGGAATTCAAGATTAACGAATATACTAAATCTTTTGGATCGAAATTTTAAACGTGTTTCGTTTGGTTGGGTGGCACGGATGAACAGGAAGAGGGTATATAGAACTTTATGTCATAATCTCCCTATAATAAGTAACTTTGTAAATTGTCAAAACAATCATAAATAACATAAACAGTAATTATTGCAGCAACAAATGTAAACCCGTTCTTATAAAGTTCTATCCATAGGGATGTGAGGGTTCAGGGGGGAGCTATTGTTACATCATTCACCCCTGTATCCACCCTGGGCAATCTACATACTCCTGTTTATTCCCATGATGATAATTGGTCACGAACAAAAATCTGGAAAAATATCAAGATTTTTTTTCTGTTGTGAATATAAAATATGAAGTTTGTAAAATATTGAAAGAGGTAAAAAATTTATTATTTTTTGGTAAGAATTCCCCGTGGACCTGACAGATTTTGATCTAGCCAATATGAAAACTTTTAGATAATTTTCCAGAACCAAAATATATAAAATTCATGTTTTTAAATTGTACAGATGAAAAAGGACTGTAAACGTACTTTCAGGAAACCCTCCATATAAAAAAACATGTGTTCGATTCACATTAGTACTCTTCAAATATGTCTCTGCCCAAGGATGACTGAGATATGCTTATTTTTAAAGCTGATTTTTTTCCATTATGGCTGCTCTATGAAAGTAAGTTTTAGTATATTCTGAAAGCTATTAAAACATTGAATAAAATAAAAATGTTTTAACATTAAAAGAATATATTAAGTCAGTATGATATGTTTTATACATTGAGAAATAAAATTATTCTAATGTCCTCTGAATAATAAAAATATGGAACGTCAAAGGCATTGAGTTCTTGTCCCAAACTCAATTGTCTAATCATGATATCTTAACAATCTGATGATGTGAACCTTTGATATTTCAAACATAGATTATTGGATCTAACAGAATTCATAGTTTGAAATATCAAAGGTCTACGACATTGGGTAGTAAAGATATAGAGATTAGAAAAGTAGAGTTTGTGACAAAAACTCAGTTCCTTTCTGAAAATTCTAAGTGGATAAAATATGAGATCATGAGTCTTTCTTCTAAAACTATACAAGGTGTCCTGAAACTATACAAGGTGTCCTGAAACTATACAAGGTGTCCTGAAACTATACAAGGTGTCCTGAAAATATCTTAACTTCATATAATTTAGAAAATATATTAAGCATGAAATCTATACTGTGGGAGAAGAATTGTAATAGGGGGGGGGGGGGGGGGGAAATTTTACCCCCTCCCCCCCCCCCCCCCCCCGCCCCGATTATTAAAAGGTTCATGGATGTAGGAGTTGGATTAAAGAGTTCATGTATGTTAGAGTTAGTTTAAAGGTTTCATATTCCTCAAGTAGTTCTTTTGATTGTTTGCAGCTGCTTGAGGTTCAACAAGGACTCTTGTAGAAGCATCTGGGTAGCAACGCGGTACACTTAACTCATTCGGAGGATGGATCGAGGCTTTTACAAATATCGCAAACTCGTCCTCCACAAACTAATCATATTTTCATAAACTTCATGAATAAAAACACAGAAAGGAATTGAATCCTTGCCATAAAACTCCGATTTTATAAAACCCTATATCTTTGCAACTGGATGTTGTGTTCTAAACCTTTTATACTTCAAACTTCTATTATTTGATCTAACATAATTCCAAGTTTAAAATAGCTAAGGTCTGCGACATTGGATTGCAGTGATATAAGCATTAAAAATTAGTTTGTGGCAGCAACTCAATTCATTTAAAGCATAAAGGAAGTCTTTTTTACAAACTCCGAGGAACTGTGTTTTTCCAACAAATTCTAATTTTCTAATCCCTTTATCTATTCAACCTGATGGTGTAAACCTTTGATATTTCAAAGTTAGACCATTTGATCCAACAGAAATCATAGTTTGAAATATCTAAGGTCTGTGACATCTGGTTTCAAAGATATAGGAATTTAAAAGTTGTGGCATAACCTCATTTCCTTTGTTAATCCCTATTTCTTTGCAACCAAAGGCCGAATTTAAAGAATTTGAGACGCGGTTTAAATTTAAGCCACGGCTCAAATTTTAGTGGTTCCACTTAAATTTGTATTAAATTTTTCAAGATTTCAGCCGGAGCTCAATTGAAACCGGATTTTGGGGGATTTGAGTCGCGGCTTAAATTCATTAAATTCGGACACTGTTTGTAAAAACCTTAGATGTTGGTCTACGACATTGGGTTGCAAAGATACAGGCATTAAAAAAAGCCAAGACTAAATTTCCTTCAATGAAAATGCATCTTTTCTCAAAACTGCATCGCAAATGCAACGACTTTTCAAATTCCTTAATTTGATCTTTGAATTAAAACTAATATTAGGTTTAGTATCTTTCATTATTAAGTGAATCATATAATAATTTAAATCATTTGTATTAGAAACAGGGGCGCACGAGGGGGGGGCCCCGGGCCCTCCCTATGCGTGCCCCCCTCGTGGGGGGCACCCATATAAAAAATACTTTAAAATCTCATTTTTAACTAAAAAAGTTTTATTTAAAAATTTTTAATCAATACTGCCTTCAGTGTTAATATATCTTTGATATCATTATTTATGATTATACAATATGTATCGTTTCTATATCTGTGCAACCTGATGGTGAAAACATTTCACATTTCAAAATAATATTATTTAATCTAGGCTAATTCATAGTTTGAAATATCTAAAGTTTATGACATTAGGTTGCAAAGATATAGGGATTAGAAAATCAGAGATTGTGGCATTAGTTTTCAAATGCCAACAATTGTCTTAATTCAAACTTGAAACATTGTGCGCTAACTGTTTCTAATTTTCAAAGTCATAAATTTGAAATATCTGCATGTGTTTAAATATTTTAAAAAGATTGTAAAATATTAAAAATATTCCTGCTCTTCGGAGGGGGAAGGTACAGGAGATTCAGCATAGTCTACACTACACACAAAACTGAAAAAAAATCAATCAATCAAACGCTTTTATCAAGTCTAAAAGTGAAAACCAGCATTTATCCACGTGTAAACAACAAACTCCTCATTTTGTTTCATATCTTCCCAGAAATTACGGCACAATCTTTAGAACAATGGCTGTTTCTGATGCAAATTGACGTAATATATAAAATTTCCAATTTTTTATTCTATTTTGATATTATATATATATATTACAAACGACAGTTCGAGATATCACTATCAATGTTCTAATAAGTTGGTGGGAGAACAAATTTGAGATGACGGTTTGAATTTAAGGTATAATATATTCATATATTCATATACAATACATTAGGTTAGAAATTGAGGAATTATTATAATATAGATCAAAGCTTTTAGCACATTAAAGAAAAAGACGAAAAAGATGACTAAACTTAAATTGTTTTATTTCATAAGAAACCTCTGAAGTACCTTCTTTAAATATTCAGGGGCGGATACAGGGGGGGGAGGTGGGGAGAATAGCTACTCAATAGCATGCTTAAGGGAAAGAAACCCTAGTGCAAAACAGGAAAAATATATATCTGTCTTAATAAACTAAAATGTGTGAAAAGTTAAAAATCTAGTTTTTTAGTCTTTAGTCATTAATTTTGACTCTTTTTGAGTCTTTTAAGTCAAAAAAAATTTTCCCCTGCGGCGCAATTTTTTGTTCCTAATTATCAATTTTTTTGTTACAGTAGGTTGAGGAGGGGGGGGGGTATTTTACCTGGGGGGTGATGTTGTTCCGCTGTTTGAAGTACTAGATATTGAAGTATTCAAATTATTGGTATTCCGCAATCTAAAGATATTCAATATCAACAAAGGTAATTGTATAACTTGGTTTTCTGTGTAATTAAATTCAGATTCTATTCTAGTAAAATTTTACGGAATCTAGTTAACTTTTTCATTTCAGGGGACGTTTACATAATAATTATAAAGAGAATAAGAAAAAGCGCTTTATTAATGAGAAAGAATGATAGAAAGAAAAGTTTATTTGGTGTCCTTGATTTTTTTCTGTAGTATCAAATACTTTAGATGGTTATTGTGGCATAACCTCATTTCCTTTGTTAATCCCTATTTCTTTGCAACCAAAGGCCGAATTTAAAGAATTTGAGACGCGGTTAAATTTAAGCCACGGCTCAAATTTTAGTGGTTCCACTTAAATTTGTATTAAATTTTTCAAGATTTCAGCCGGAGCTCAATTGAAACCGGATTTTGGGGGATTTGAGTCGCGGCTTAAATTCATTAAATTCGGACACAGGAACTCTTTCAATCCATGCAATGACAACCNGATGTCTCTCTATGGATGACATTTGATAAACATAACGACACATTTATATGCATTTTATAAAGTCAAGACTTTTACTCCGATTGGGGCCAATATGTTGTGGGACCTAACCTGGCCCCGAGGGTCGTCTTTTTGTCCGATAAGGGTACTCAATCTTTTTTGTAAAATTCAATAATGTTGTAAAGCTTGTCAAATATAGAATTATTAAGACAAGATATATTTTATATACACCTTCAGGTGAAATGGTTAGTTATTCCTAACATGTAATTGGTTAAGATTAAATTAAATTTTAACAAAATTTTGAAATTTAAACAAAATTTGAAATTTTTGAAAATCTACAAACTCACAAAAGAATAAATATTTTGATGATACAGGTTATATTTCAGTTTAATCTTAGATCAGCTGTTTCATTGTTGGAAATCCTTCATTCCGAAATTAATAATATTTCAATTTTTTAGAAACAAATACATTAAGTACATAATGATGTGCTCGCAAAATTCATTCTTTACGAGACAATTTTTCTGGCTTTTTGCAAGTTGCTAAACTATGTTAGAAGCATTTACAGTTTAAAAAGCAAAATACAGAAATCTTGTTTTAAACCAAAATAATCTAGCTTATTTTATATGGTAGTGCGGCGTCATTAATGTTTCTTTTCAGTATCTGACGTCATCTAGGATTTCATTCATTTATTCTGAACCAAATTCTATAATTAATTCGTTACCATCAGAGAATAAAACAATGTAGGATAATAAGATGATAAGATTAAAAAATATAAAATTCATGGAAAAAAGAAAATTTGCCATGACGAGAATACCTTGCAGAATTCCGATCTTAAAAGGATTGTAGGCGTAATTTCAAGTGACCCTCTCAATGCAAAGATGCCAATGTCTGAATAACAATAACAAAAATGTGGAAAATTTGAAGTTTTTCTAGGTTTAAAAGTGGTTAATTCTATTTTCTAGGTTTAAAAGTGGTTAATTCTATTTTCTAGGTTTAAAAGTGGTAAATTCTATTTTCTAGGTTTAAAAGTGGTTAATTCTATTTTCTAGGTTTAAAAGTGGTTAATTCTATTTTCCTTCACTAGAAATACGTAATTCACTTTATAGAGAATCTTACAATTAAAAGTAATCAGTTTTCAAAATTTGGACATTAACATCTAGTTCAGACAACGCTTTTAAGGGTACCGTTGTTAATCGAGCATTTTCAGCTTTGCATGGAGGGTCACTTGAAGTTGCGCTAACCAGTAAACACCAAACCAATTAAAGAAGTGTATAAAAGCTATACCTGCAGCAGAACGGAGTAACAGGTAGAGAGTTCCCAGGAACTGAATTTTGAGCAGATAAACTCTAAACAGATAAAATTAGAGATACACTCTAAACAGATAATATTGGAGATAAACTCTAAACAGATAATATTAGAGATACACTCTAAACAGATAATATTAGAGATACACTCTAAACAGATAAAATAAGAGATAAACTTTAAACAGAGATAAACTCTAAACAGATAATATTAGAGATACACTCTAAACAGATAAAATTAGAGATACACTCTAAACAGATAATATTAGAGATAAACTCTAAACAGATAATATTAGAGATACACTCTAAACAGATACTATTAGAGACAAACTCTAAACAGATAATATTAGAGATAAAATCTAAACAGATAATATAAGAGATAAACTCTTAACAGATAATATTAGAGATACACTCTAAACAGATACTATTAGAGATAAACTCTAAACAGATAATATAAGAGATAAACTCTAAACAGATAATATTAGAGATACACTCTAAACAGATAATATTAGAGATAAACTCTAAACAGATAATCTTAGAGATAAACTCTAAACAGATAATATTAGAGATAAACTCTAAACAGATAATATTAGAGATAAACTTTAACATATAATATTAGAGTTGCACTCTAAACAGATAATGTTAGAAATAATCTCTAAACAGGTAATATTAGAGATAAACTCTAAACAGATAATATTAAAAATCTCTAAGCAGATTAAACTCATACTAGCTTGGGAACCCAGTCTGAACATCTAAACCAAGTTAACAAGTTACCCAAAAACAGACTTAAGGCAAATTGGTCAAAGGGGTTCCAGACAAACAAACAGAAAAACAGAGATTACTACTTTATGTAGATATGTATTTTGTACCTTGAGAATATTAGGACGTTTCCCAGGTTTGAGAGTAACCATCTCCGGGTGTATTGGAGTATCCTGTCTCTGGAAAGTACTCCGCCGTCTCCTGCTAGGACTAGGATTTGCATCTACTATTATCACTTGTTTCTTCTCTTGGGTTACCGGTACATGTGGGGCATCTATACTCCCGTGTACAGTATCTATACTTCCATGTACAGTATCAATGCTACAGTGAGCGATATCTATACTTCCATGTATTGCATCCATACTCTCGTGCTCTGCGTCCATTCTCTCTAGAACTGACTCCATGAATCCTGGATTATCCTGCTCCTCATCATCACCAGGGGTTAATATTCTCGTACCATCCTCATCCTTAACAATTATTATAAAATAAAAATTTGTTTATTACTTTAAGCGGATTGTATTATTGTTGGAGGGATTGTGATACTAATAAAGGTATTGAGTTACTGTTAAAGGGATTGTGTTACTGTTTAAAGGGATTGTGTTAATTTAAACCGATTGTGTTACTGTCAAAGGGATTGTGATACTGTTAAAGAAATTGTGTTACTGTTAAAGGGATTGTGATACTTTTAAAGGGATTTCGTTATTATTAAAACAGATTGTATTACTATTAAAGGGATTGTTTTACTGTGAAAGGGATTGTCTTACTGTTAAAGGAATTGTATTCGTGTTTAATAGATTGTGTTACTGTTAAAAGGGATTGTGATACTGTTTAAGAGATAGTGTTACTGTTTATGGGATTGTGTTACTGTTAAAAGGGATTGTGTTACTTTTAAACGGATTGCGTTACTGTTAAAGGGATTGTGATACTGTTAAAAGGATTCTGATACAATTAAATGAATTGTGTTACTGTTAAAAGGATTGTGTTACTATTAAAGGAATTGTGTTACTGTGAAAGGGGTTGTGTTACTGTTAAAAGGGATTTGGGTGCTGTTAAAGGGAAAGAAATGAAAGTTTCCGTTTCCACATTTTTTAATAATAATTTTATCTTTTTATGAATTCTATAATTTACCTCATCGTCATTATTACACAAACTGACTCCAGATCCAAATTCTAAATAAAAAGATTAATTAAAAATTATAAAGTTAACTCCTTGAAAATAATTAATTAATGTCCTCGGTTCTTTATGTATTGCATAGTGCCGAGATTGAAAATGTCAGAAAGCATTTTAAAATTCGTTTATTGAACATCAGGAAATTAGAAGATTCTAATTTTCACTAATTTGTTGAATAAATATGACTTTAATTAGATTGAATCAAGTTTTCTCATTTGTCTCGTTTTTGCCCATATGCTGTTTGACCTTAAGTCGTTTTATTCTATGTTGGGGAATCAAGTTTTCCCCCCCCCCCCGCCCCTCCAATTATTAGCTTATTTTTTGAAAAATATGTGTCTTCCCTTCTGTGTAAGAATAATGATTAAAAGTAATCACGTTTCCATGAATTGCAATAATTTTATAAATAAAAAGGTTGTTGCAACTTTCATTGTGTTCATGGCATTCTGTATTTGTAATTTATCTAATAACGTGAAACATTTGACAAACATTAATAATAATGGCGTATTAAAGAAAAATGTTAAATCAATAGAAATGATATTATAATAATATATAAACTGGCTAATTATGCATTTTGACCCGTGATACTTTTAGCCTTCAAAGATTGCTTTAAGGCAAGCGACATTTTTCGTCGAAAAACGCTAAATATCTAAAATAATTTTTAAATTTGAAAGGAAAACCACATCTTAAAGTAAACAACTTTTTTTTGCGATTTCCCTTCATTTAGGAATTAATCTATGTTGAAAACCTACCGCTTTGCTCTACCCATAGAGAATAGAATATATGTTAGAGGGGAATTTAAAGAATCGGTATGAATTTTTTCAGTCCCTTTCAGCCTGAAAGGGAGTTCAAAGTGTACAAATCATGTAAATGTTCACAAATTATATGCAGTAGAGTACATTAATACAGTATGTTTCCTAGACTATTCATTTCAATTTCGAATTTTTTAAACTGTTAAATAAACTTTATAATGAATTAGGTGAATAAAAAATCATTTGATTTATAGTTATAACGGAAAATCATCGTTTGTAAAGTGGAAGGCATAGAGTCTATGTGAAATGATCATTGGTCAATTATGAAACCAGCCTATTTCATAATTTGGTTTTCTTTTAATAATAATTTTAGATTTTCTATAAAATGATATTCCAGGGCCCAAAAAGGTTTAATAGCATAAATATGTGAAGTACACCTGAGCCCGAAATTTAAAAGAGTATCGTTGAACGAAACTCCCCAGTGTCCTTTTTGGGGTCTTAACATTTGTGTAGATTTTGATTTAAGAGATTTTAAAAAATGGAGAATATGAAGAAATAAAAAAAAATAATATTTCATCACAAAAATATTGATATCCACAAAATTACCTTATCCCATTCGTGAAACCCGGGTTCCAAAACTGGTTTTCATAACGATACCCTGTCTTAAGTTTTGAGCTCAGCAGTATGGAAACAGTACACCAAAATGGCCGTTTTACACTTTTTTCCAGTATACCTTCTTACCACGGTTCTAATGTAAAGATAACAAGTTTTGAAAATAAAGTTCAAATTCAAATTTTAGAATTCTTTGAACACAAATAAAATTATGTTTTCTTTAAAATAAAAAAAAAATAAAGGAAATGCTGGCATATTTTCCAACCATCTTAAATTCTTAAGAAATAATTTATATGATTGGTTGGTCTTTGCAGATTTTCAAAGCGTCTTCTGTTTAGAGGTCTGTTTGATTGTGAAAAAATAAGAATAAACCATAAAATGGATCAATGTTAAACTCATCAAAATATGAATACTTGCGTAGAATGGACAAGGCGTACAAAAACTGCGTCATGAGATGTCATGCTATTGTGTAAATATGTAAATAATTTACAAAACGCAAAGCAGAGATAAGAGAGGGCATCGAGATCTATTTAAGGCCAGAATATGCGATATTTTCTGAACCAGGTTGCATTGTGTACAACTGGAGTACACGACTAATAAATATCAGGGATGAAGCAGGTTGCATTGTGTACAACTGGAGTACACTACCAATAGATATCATGGATTGAACCAGGTTGCATTGTGTACAACTGGAGTACACGACAAATAAATATCATGCATATGAAGCAGGTTTCATAGTGTACTACTGGAGTACACGACTAATAAATATCATGGATGAAGCAGATGGCATTGTGTGCAACTGGAGTTCAACTACAAGACCAATAAATATCATGGATGAAGCAGATTGCATTGTGTACAACTGGAGTACAAGACCAATAAATATCATGGATGAAGCAGATTGCATTGTGTACAACTGGAGTACAAGACCAATAAATATCATGAATGAAGCAGATTGCATTGTGTACAACTGGAGTACAAGACCAACAAATATTATGGATGAAGCAGATTGCATTGTGTACAACTGGAGTACACGACCAATAAATATCATGGATGAAGCAGGTTGCATTGTGTACAACCGGAGTACACGACTAATAATTATCATGGATGAAGCAGGTTGCATTGTGTACAACTGGAGTACACGACCAATAAATATCAGGGATGAAGCAGGTTGCATTGTGTTCAACTGGAGTACACGACCAATAAATATCAGGGATAAAGCAGGTTTCATTGTGTACAACTGGAGTACACGACTAATAAATATCATGGATGAAGCAGGTTGCATTGTGTACAACTGGAGTACACGAACAATAAATATCAGGGATGATACAGGTTGCATTGTGTACAACTGGAGTACACGGCCAAAAAATATTATGGATGAAGCAGGTTGCATTGTGTACAACCGGAGTACATGACAAATAAATATCAGGGATGAAGCAGGTTGCATTGTGAACAACCGGAGTACACGAACAATAAATATCAGGGATGATACAGGTTGCATTGTGTACAACTGGAGTACACGACCAATAAAATAAAATATTTGAGTATTTCTTTTAAAATTATAAAACTTGACTCCTAAATGTGTATTTTATGCAACAAGTCGCCTTTAGATGGCAGTCAAAAACATTTCGTGGAAATGTATCATGTCGTGTCGGGTCAACTATAGGCCTGCTTAGCCTAGCCGTGAGAGCTTATGAGCAGTCTGTTTATATCTTGTCTGTGGTGCAAACGCTTGCGGATGATGTACACAATAGCATAATATCCTATCCTATCCATTTTACGTAGGATTTCATAGTACTATGGTGTAACTGTACTGTGTTTAAGACAGGCGACTTGCGATGTAAATATTTAATTATGTTTGTGAGAGGAAACTGTCAACTTTTTCAAGAAAAAAAGAAGATTCTCAGAATGCTTGTTGTTGAGTAAATATTGTATGGATTAAAAAGTTGGTTTGGTTAGTAAAAGCTTTGTAACATGTCTTTAGAAATAGATTTTCATATTTTAAAAACAGGGCCTTCAGTTTTTACTCCAGCCTGTATTTGACTGTGCATGAATTGAATTAAGTTTTCGATCCTCTTATCTTCGCGATCCTCTTATTGGTGTTCAGAGGTCTTTTTAGAGATTAGATTATGGACGGTCAAGGTTTGACTTCCTCATGCTTATCACCAAGAATTGCAAACAGATTTTTGATTGAGTTGAGACAGGTCAAGGCTGTAGGCTATTCTCATATATTCGGTCGGGATGTAAAAAAAAAAAATTTCTCTAAGTAACCTCTGAGTCCCGAGAGTAGTGTAAAGACGAGAACCGTCTTGCTGAAAGATTAACTCAGACTAACCCAAGTGGTTGCACAAAATGTTTACTGAGCTGAGATTTTAAAAGCTTAAACCCGAGTAAAACCCAGTCTTAAGGTCTGTTTGAGCCCCAAGAAAAGTTCAACCCAACAGTTGCATTCCTACAGCCTAGGATAACAGTGCTCTGCCAGAGACCTATCTTCACTATTTGCAGTGGACGCTGAGAAAGGTGTCTGCACATATATGGAGGGTAGGAAGGCCAAGCGGCCCTGAACCTCATGCTCAATTAGCAATCGGAGCGCTTTCTGGAAGGGCCCTTTCCGTGCTCCCTGAGCAGAGCTGATAAAAAGGGACAACTCCGCATTCTGCATGCAGCTGTGCACACTAAATGCGATGCTTCCTAAGGAATTCCGTTGGACTGGGAAATAGTATAACAAGTGGACAAATGAAGTGGTTTTAACGAAGCATTCCTAATACGCCACTCCTACAAGAGCCCTTATCTTCATCTCCAACTCTCCTCTGCCTACCATCTAACCTTCTCACAAGCAGCAAAATGAGACTAGAGGACATTTCTCTGTTGGATCCTACAACAAAATTAATTCTGAGCAGGTCACTTGATTATCTTTTGTTGATTAACAACCCTCCTTGTACAGAAAGTAAAATTGTGCGGTTCATAGCAGGGGAGCTATTGCTCCCTCGCTGGAAACAGAAATTAACTTGAAGTGCTAGAAGTGATAACCTAGCCAATTCAAGTAGACAGAATGTTCACTGTTCAGCGCTGAGGCTGCTATTACAATTAAGCAAAATAAGAAAACGGAGAGGGGTACATCTATACAATGAAAGGGTGATCCTGCAGTGTCTTATAATGGCGCAAAGGCAGAGACACGTTCACATGCTTTCAAAAGCAGCGCCATAAATGGACGGGCAAGAGAAAGAGAAACTGCAGACGTGCTGATGGAGAAAGGAGGAAAAAGATGTTTGATGAACATTTGAAATTATGAACTATTCCTCGTTTAGAAAAATTATAAAAAAATAAATTCTAAAAACATTGTTAAAATAAAAAAGTTCAAACCAAGACTCGAGTTTAGGGTAGACTTGGCGTTAGTAAAAACCAATCTTGGGTTTTTAACTCTTTTAGGCTCGGATCTCCGAAGGTGGAAGACTGTAGATTTCGTAAATACTTTTATATTTTGACATTTAAAATCTCCGGTATTATCTGTAGGGTTACATGCATGGACAGTTTAATTGAACTTGTATATGGGGGACAAGGCCAAAATTCAATGTTTTTGATCCGCGCCCTTTGTTTAATGATACCTGAATATTCTGTATTAGCTTCCTCTGAAGGTTGTCTGCCTGAAGTTTGTCCAGTGCTCTGTTCACTACCCTGAGTAAATATAAACCTTTTAACACAAATCGGTGTTTGTGTCTCGTACATGCATTGTGTACATGTATATTTTAGCGTACATGCAGGAACATAGGCTCTAATCAGATATATGGATGTTTTTAAACATTCTACGTCTTAAACTAATGTTAATCTACACATCAGAAGAAATGAAGAAATATTAACCTAAATAAAGGGAATTAAATCAGGCCTCAGATATCCTAGTTTTGTTTATCTATTCCTGGAATATGCTTGATAAGAAAAAAGATCTAATTTTTTCGTCTCCAGAGTTAAAAGTATCATCTGGTACGCAATATTTTTCTCTGAAAAAAGTGGTTGAAAAAAGATTACGTTTGAAACAAGAAGTTTGTAAATTCTTAAACTAAAAACACCTTGTCCAAAATTTCAAGTTACTTACTCAGTTTTTGTGATAAAAATATTTTTTAAAAATCAAGTTTTTCGTAGCATAAATTTTGTTCAGGAACTGAGTATTACTTGTCCAAACTGTTTATATACCAGTGTACCTGAAACTATTATTAACATTTAAATAGTGTTCAAAAAAACCTAAAACTACAGATTTGAAACTGCATTTCTTTCTAATCTATTTAGTAATTTTTTTCAATCGAATTAACATTTAAAATTGAAAAGCTGATAGGGATGAGAAAGTACGTCTGCATGTTTATTATATTATTAAGGAACTGTAAAGGAAAAATGAAACGGGGTATAGGCTGAAACTTCAGAATCTCAGGGGTTAAATGATACCTATAAAACATCCATCTGTTGTTCCTGTCTCGAGAAATTAACATAAACCCCAACGTATACATGTAAGACATACGTCCGGATCACGTGACCATAACTCCTACCAATGACAGTGAAATATACTGGTCACGTGATACGGAGACAGAGACATGTGACACTAATACTGCACTGCCATTGGTTGAAGTTCTGGTGACATTAATAATTATCTATTTGATAAAACAAGACATTCATATATATATATTCTATAGCCGGGCTGAAATTATTTGTGGACACTCATGGGTGGCGGGGGGGGGGGGGTGTTGTAGGCTAAAAAATCTAAATTTTTGTTTCTCAAATTTTTTTACTTCTTTTTGTTTTTAAATTTTTTTTTCCACGGGCAACGCCGGGCCCTTCAGCTATTATCTATTAAAAATGAAAAATTATTAAATTCAAATAAATAAGAGCAAACTTGAATTTCTCAGGCTCTTGTGGGATATCGTTGTTTTCAGATTGGTTGCGTATTTGTTGAATATGATCTGTTTAATACTACGAATCTTATACAAAATCTTACATATATATGTACGTTTTTGTATAATTCTGACACAGTTTTATATTAATTTCTCGCGACAGGAATATCAGATGAACTCTTACATGTCTCAATCCACTCCTGAGATTCTCTGGTTTCAGCCTATACACCCTTTCATTTTTCTTTAACATTAGACACAGCTATTGTGCAGTGTTAACAGATTCATTTCATGGAATAAAACTATTTGCCTTGTAACCACATAAAATAAACTTTTGTATAACTTCAATGTCGTCTTCCTATTCCACAGTTTTCTGGTTCTCATTGTATGTTATTACTCTATCAAACAAAATCATGCATATGTTTGGTTTGGACACATCCCCAGTATTAATGCAACTATGTTAGAGGATTGTCTCCTTGATTAAACTAAACAAACTTCCAATGTTTATGTCTCATTCATTACATTATGGGATACACTTTATCAATTAATATATTTAAAACATATCAAGCACAAAGGATTTTAAAGTGATTGTTTCATTTTTTCAATGTATTTTTATCAGAAATCAAAATAATAATTTGAGAGTTCAGTTTCATGTTTGTTTGATAAACATTTAGTAGGTTTTTGTTCAACTTTACAAATTTGATTGTCTGTCTCAAGAATAAAATCATTGGCAAACATTTTTCGTCTTATTTGCATTAAAAAGTCAAGTTTATTTGTATTCTGTATTTACTTTTTTGAGAAAAAAAACACAAATTTCAAAAAAGCAAGTCTAAACGACAAGAAACGGAAAGTAATCATTGTCTCTAATGTCAGTCTGTCCTGTTTACATATTGTCTCTAATGTCAGTCTGTCCTGTTTACATATTGTCTCTAATGTCAGTCTGTCCTGTTTTTGCATATTGAATTTTCATTTTGATCAGATTTTGTTGAAAAACTTTTTTTTCCAAGTGAAAGCATAACAACCCGTAAATTTTAATACGATGAAAATAAAATAAAACAATCCTTTTAAATTAGTCAGCAAAGCAAAGTTTAAACAAAGGAATTGAGTGTTTGCCACAAACTCTTGTTTTCTAATTTCGATATCTTTGCAACACAATGTCATAGACCTTTTATATTTCAATCTATGAATCCTGTTCGATCAAATATCAAAGTTTGAAATATCAAAGGTGTACATTATCAGGTTGCAAAGATATAGGGATTAAAAAATTGAATTTGTGGCAAAGACTTAATTTCTTTAACAAAAAGTTATTTAGATTATAATGAAATCCATAGAGTCCAGACATCCATACAGAGAAATATTACAACTTTTTAGGCACAGTTTACATCAAATCAAGATTAGAAATTCATTTCTCCAGTTTTCATGTATATAATGCTGTATGGAAACTGACCAAAAATATATATATAAATGATTTAGTATTCTTTCTTAAACTCAGAAATAAAATTATTTTGAAAACGTTTTTCCTTTGTCTGAGGTTTTGGTTTCCCATTCCAGGTTTTCAGTCTACTCAATCATATTCTGAAGTTATGAAAAATATATATGATGTAAAATCCAAAAAATCTATGATACAAAATTTAGAAATATATATGATAAAAAATTTGAAAATATATATGATATAAAATTTAAAAATATATATGATATAAGATCTAAAAATATATATGATATAAAATCTAAACATCTATGATATAAAATTTAGAAATATATATGATATAAAATTTAAAAATATATATGATATAAAATTTAAAAATATATATTATATAAAATTTAGAAATATATATGATGGTGATTTTTAAAAGTCGATTTTTTTCATTTGTGCTTAATTAGATGAAAAATCCACAATATATAATAAGAAATTTTCTAATCCTTATATCTTTGCAGCCTGATGGTGTAAACCTTTGATATTTCAAATTTAGAATATTTTATTTTATAGAATCCATAGCTTGAAAAATTATTGCGGTCTACGACATTGTGTTACAAATAAATAGGGATTATAAATTCCTTTTTTTTACTTTTAATTTAATGAATTTTGAGATATTTTGTTTATTTTTTTTTATTTTGAAAAAAGTATAGCAAAATTTATTCATAAATAAACTCGGTTTTGGAAAATTTAAAGAAAAATAGTTTCAAATCATTATCAGGATATTATCAGAATACAAGTTTATTAAGGCTCTTCAATGACAAAAAATGAAGAGGACAAAAATTAATATATTCGAAAACGTGAACAGTTCTTTTAATAGATATTTGTGATCTCATGTTAAGTTTCGATGACAGGGATTAAAGTTATGAGAAATAAAACTCAATGTTTAACTTTCAGTCAACTTTCAGGATGAACAGATTTTTAAGTTTGCTGAAATTTAGTTTAGTTTGAAATGAGTTGCTCGGTTTAAATATTTTTAGATCTTTGCAACAGTTTGTAACAGTTTAATTTACTTCTTACTCAATACTGTGAAGGGTTGATGGGTGTGATATATCCTACAGGACCTGGAATATATCAAACAAGGATTTCACTCAGTTCTATGAAAGTTTATTTCACAGCGTCCTTAAAACTAGTTTATGAGGAAATAGTACCTAAATTATCGCCTTAACTTGAAGAAATGTTGTTAATTTAACGAGATAACAAAAAAATCTAAAAAATCAAAAGAAAAAAAATAACAGAAAGAGAAGGAAAAAAGGACTGAAGGGTGAGAGTGAGAGGTGAATAAATAAAATAATTAGAATAAAAATCTTAAAGGGATTATAAACTTAAACTTAAGCGACTCTCTTTTTCAGTGCAATCAGCGTCGGATTTCTCGAGCTAGAAAATGCAAGAAAATGCGCAATATTTCCGCACAAATGTTTACCTAAGGTAGGTTCAAAAGACTTATTGTGAATTGTATATGGTACTATTTAAATATTTCAGCGTCACCTAGGATTAGTTTAAGATTATCTCTTAACGGGACTGTACGTGACCTTCCATTTATAAACCTTTGTTTAATCAAATATTTCTTAGATATTCTTATTTATATAGGAGAGCAGGGGGAATAAAGTGACAATTGAATCCGCGCTAGTGTACACTAGCACGGAAAGTACAGTGTACACTGTAACCTCAAACATGTAGTCCCGGCTGCGGCCCTCAATCTTTAGCCAGCTACCTCATCGTTGTCCGGACAAAGGTTTAAAGGGTACTGTTGTGAATCGAAAATGTATCGCTATAAATGGAAGGGCACTTGAACTTACGGATACAGTCCCTTTCAGATCTACAGATATCGATAAACTGTGGTTTACCTTGCGCGGAGAGCGTCCTGGGTTTAGACGAGTATCGGAGTAGGAGAAGGAGGAAAACTTTCTCACGTCAGAGAAATCTTCAACCTGAGACTCAACTCTGATTCAAAACCGTTTTCTTTCGCCAGTTAGAAACTGGGATTTTATTTTAAAATGAATTGATTTTTTCACCCCTTCGCAGAGTTTTCGGATTTTTTTATCCTACATCTATCTATCTTTCTATTTATCTAAATATCTCTATATACAATAAAAATATTTATGAGAAAAATATCGAACCGGGGTTTATATGTAACCCATTGATGAATTAACGATTTGTCTCTCCGAGGTAGGGGGCTAAATCCCCCCTTTAGACCTAAGGCATAGGCATAACTTACACTTTTTAAGAGGGAGAGTGCTTAGTCTCATGCNCGCAGTTTAAACCATTTTCTTTTCAGGCTTTTATATAACTTGATAATAATTCCATTTCAACAATTTGTCAAAAATGGATCATTAAAGTATCATTTCATACCATTAATTTAATCGTTTATAAAAGACTGTATTCTGAATTGACAGGACATAATGTTTCTTAGAAATACGTCATTAAGGCAGAAAGTAAGCTAATATGTCTTGCTGTATTCATAATAGGAAATTAATTCTATGACAAAAACTAAAATTTTCTAATCCCTATATCTTTGCAACCTGATTGTGTAAATAAATAACATACGACATTAGGTTGCAAATATATAGCGATATGAATTCTTTGTCTATAGGTGTATTTATGCCAGTTTGTCCAGGTATATTTCTGCTAGTTTTTCTAGATGTATATATACTAGTTTGTCTAGATGTATTTTTTCTATTTTTTGTCTAGATGTATTTATGCTAGTTTGTCTAGATGTATTTATGCTAGTTTCTCTAGATGTATTTATGCAGTTTGCTAGATGTATTTATACATGTTTGTCTAGATATATTTATGCTAGTTTGTCTAGATGTATTTATGCTAGTTTGTCTAGATGTATTTATGGAGTTTGCTAGATGTATTTATACTTGTTTGTCTAGATGTATTTATGCTAGATTGTCTAGATGTATTTGTACTAGTTTGTCTAAATGTATTTATGGAGTTTGCTAGATGTATTTATTCTTGTTTGTCTAGATGTATTTATGCTAGTTTGTCTAGATGTATTTATACTAGTTTGTCTATATTTATTTATGCTAGTTTGTCTAGATATATTTATCCTAGTTTGTCTAAATGTATTTATTCTAGTTTGTCTAGTGTATTTATGCTAGTTTGTCTATAGATGTATTTATACTAGTTTGCTAGATGTATTTATGCTACTTTGTCTAGATGTATTTATGCTAGTTTGTCTAGATGTGTTTATGCTAGTTTGTCTAGATGTATTTATGTTAGTTTGTCTAGATGTATTTATGCTAGTTTGTCTAGATGTATTTATACTAGTTTGCTAGATGTTTTTATGCTAGTTTGTCTAGATGTGTTTATGCTAGTTTGTCTAGATGTATTTAGCTATTTTAATAAATTTATTCCTGCTATAATTGGAATTAATTATTCAAAACTGAATTTTTAGCTTTTCTATCTACTTCAATTAATTAAAAAATTCAAATTTGCTTTTAGTTTGGTATCTGTAATATGTTTATATTATTATTCATAGTCATAGTTATTCCCGCCGTTTACCTGCGCTTGGTATTAAATTATAATTTTATGGTTATATCGAAGCAAAAAAAATTATTATGTTACCCTCCCCCGGGGTACCCACAGGTTTCATAAAAAAAATCAGCCAATTTGGTCAATTTATTTACAGATATAAGGGAAAAGCTTTATTATATATAGATGGTGTTTATTATATACATTTTATACATTGATGAATGATAAATGAATTGATGAATGATAAATGAATTAATGAATGATAAATGAATTAATGAATGATAAATGAATTGATGGATGATGAATGAATTAATGAATGAAAAATGAATTAATGAGTAATGAATGAATTTATGAGTGATGCATAAATTGATGAAGGATGAATTACTTGATGAATGATGAATGAATTGATGAATGAAGAATGAGTTAATGAATGAAGAATGAATTGATGAATGATGAATGAATTGATGAATGATCAATGAATGATCAATGAATTGATGATTGGAAAGCAGATGTAGAATTCTGTTCTATCGAAGCATCTAAGTGAAAATGATTTATTTATGTTTTAGTTTAGATGTTAAACAGAAACCCTGAGCTATCAACATCCCATCTCACGCAGACAACACTTCATTTAGAGTAACGAAATGTGTCTTTAAAGGTAGTGTTCGTTAAAAATGAAAGGGGTATAGACTGATATCGAATGGAATTCGATTTTAATCGCTACTTTAATATTACTTCTATCTGTTACGTCTATAAGGAGAAAATGGTTAAAACGTTTTATACCAAAGAGCGTAGCGTCCATACAAATTCACGGAGTTTCAGTTTTCCACTCGGATCGTAAATAATTCGATTAAACTGGCGACGTAATTTTAAGTGCTCTTCCATTTGCATGACATGTCAAATTCATAAAGAACCCTTTAGACCTTTGTCTGATCATCGATGACGGAGATATTTTTTGTTTGCGCTTTTCCTTGCAAAAAGAAGCTGTAAATTGAGGTACTCAAGGGGGCGGGCACTATAGTTTCAGTAGAAGTAAATATTCCCATTTACTGCAATAGCGCCGATATAAGGATTTATCTCTAATTGGAAAATGAGATAGATAGAAAGACAGATGTTACCGCCAAACTATTTCTGTTGGTTCAGAATAGAAAACAAACACATGNACGTCTACATTTCCAGTAAAGGGATATTTAGCAAAAGTTAAAAATTCAACTTTTACTTCTCCATCTGTATGCAAACACTACCTTTTGCATTTACTGGGTGAAACCTCTTTTTTTTAAATATGTTCATATTCCCTCAAAAATTTAATAACAAAGATTGAAAAGAAGTTTATGCATGAAGTTTATATTTACATACTAGAGATTCTAAACAATTTTTCTTCTCCATAGCTCTTCAATAAGAGGAGTAATTATGAAAACATATCAAAGGAATTGAGTCTTTGCCACGCGCTAAAATTTTCTAATCTATTTATCTTGGCAACATGATGGCGTAAACCTTTGATATTTCAAACTTAGATTATTTGATCTAACAGAATTTATAGTTTGAAATATATAAGGTTTATTACATTGTAATGCGAAGATATTAAGAATAAAAAAATCAGTTTTTGTAGTAAAGACTCAATTTTATTTTAATCTAATTTTAATATTCATGTCCCAGCATAACTTTTTAACCCAATGCCGGATTTGCCTTAAAATTTTGATTGGGGAACTGGGTATAAACCAAGGAAACATTCTAAATAAAGTTTTTCGACTTTTATAGATTAATCTAGCTTTACCTCATTTTCTAACCATTAGGTTGCAAAAAGATAAGGATTAGAAAATCTAAATTTGTGCCAAAAATACTCATATATCCTTTCCAGAAAAGAAAAAAAATATTTTCCGGAAAAAAATCTTTGGAAATGTCTGTTTATTATTTGATATTTGAAGTTTTATGTTTCTGTGGTTTCTCCAATCATCTACATTATGAGAATGAAATGTTAAAGCTACAACAGAAAGAAAACATCAAATCTTTAATTTAGAAAACCTCCATTCGAGCTATAAATATTTTTTACAATGATTTTGTTTGTAGAAATCAAAGAAAGACAAAAAGCTTGTAATCGTTTTTTTATCCTCTGAACCACTGCTAATCTGTAAATATACTTTGCTGGCCTGTTTGTTTGTGTCCAATAAACGTCAAAACGGCTGAACCGATCGGGCTCAAATTTCTCACGTGACCCCGGCCCAGGGAAGGTTTATGGGGATGATCAAATTTTTAAAAATAAGCCTTCATCAAAATTTGATTTGCACTAAATTTGAAAATCCATGAATATTTTTATAAATCTGCAAACATTTTTTTGTTTTACAATGTATACAAATAAACATGTTAACGATCGAAATGGAAGATGGGCGCGAAGCGCCCTGACAGCCTGTTTCTTGGCAAATGAGATGTCCCCAGGGACGATTTTTAAATTTCGAAACATTTTGGCTGGATAAAAAAAGTCCACTTTGTTATTTTTGAAATACACAATTTGTGACAAATTGTTGTTATTATAGGGGGGGGGGGGGGCGCGCAGCGCCTTAAAAGGCTAGTTGTAAAAACATGTGTTCGACAAATAAACTATAATAATAAAGAAGTGTGGTCTGTATATCTCTAACACGAGGCCAATATCAAATACCTTTGATTGGGATTGCATTGTGTTATTACATTTTCTTCAAGAACAACTTTATTCTCCTTATTCTAGTATTCCCTTATTAGATTATAGAGATTATATCATATTTTGTTCATAATCTCTCGATATAGAAGAATCTGGTTGTACATATATAGGTCATAACACACCATGATTACACTTTCAGATAAAAAGCATCGATTATATTAAGTCAATTGATTAAAACAAAGGAATTGAGTTTATGTTGCAAACTCTTATTTATTTATCCCTATATCTTGACAACTTAGTGTCGTAGATCTTTGATATTTTAAACTATGAATTCTGTTAGATTAAACATATCGAGTTTGAAATATCAAAGGTTTGCAAAGATACAGGATTGTAAAATTGGAGTTTGTGGCATAAACCCAGTTCCTATGATTTGTACCACTTTTGACTATGAGAGCACTGATTGAATATATATAAAGCATTTACCAGTCTTTTGATTAAAACAGAATTAATTGTGCTTTCAAGTTTTCAACACACAACACACACCACACAACACACAACACACAACACAACATAAAACGTGCTGGGTCGACTTTAGATTGGTAGACTAGACTGGTCGGTACGCGTAGATTAATAATTAATAAAATTACTATATAGACCGGTAAATCCTTGTATCATGATCATGCGATAATTGGAGCATGCAAACTCTGGATGGAGTATCATGTATGAACCATTCCAATTTTTTTATGCATAGTTTATCCTTCTACATTTACCTAATTACATATTTTGTCATTGTGTATAAAAACACGTTTTATTTAAAATTCTATAAAATAATCTTTTTCATTTTTATCAAATTCTTAAAAATAACAGCAACAACTGCAGTGGTTTTT